AGCAATTAATTACATTAGTTTTGGAGTAATTTTTAATTGTTAGTAGGTTGTTTATTTAATTTATATTAGTATAATCGTGCTTAATTTTTTCTCTCTCTCTCTCTCTCTCTCTCTCTCTCTCTTTCTCTCATTTAACTACACATATACATTTTTCATCATGCATAAATAAAATAAAAAGTACTAACCAACATGCGAGCGGTATTTTAAGTTTATCATTGGTGGTATTTGCGATGCCTTGCAAAGTGGCCATCCAGTCGTTCCAGCATTTCTTATTAGTCTTACGGTCAGAGTTACCACATTTGCCCATCTGTTGAAACTCGAGTCCGCGGCGTTTGAATTTACAGACACCCACCGAATGCTTGACCACTGAATACACGAATAAATTCAATACTGTTTTCTCCATATTTTGCAAACACGTATCGCCGTATTGTTTCAGGTCTTTCTCGCGCTGTTTACTTGCACTGTATATCAACATTTAATTAAATTAATTAAATATAACATTATGTAAATTTGTAGGCATCTGTAATAAATAGTATCTATGTTTATATACTCGCAAAATTGTTTCATCTCGGTCTCGTTGGTGGGAAATTTTTGTTTGTCGGCCGCAAACATGAACATCTCCTTGATCAATTGGTCGGCTTTTGGCTGCTCCACATCGCATTTGTACTCCTGGCCCATACATACCCTATCGTTACCAATCCATACTAATGCTATAACTATTGCTATAAGCGAATACATGGTCAATATAATTATTCTAATCAATGTTTAGTTAAATGTTTATTCTATTGCCTTAGATTTGTAAACTGTATAATAGTATCAAGATGTTGGCATTATATACTATTTTGTTCTTATGATCAAGGTAAGGGATTCTTTATTAACCTTGGTACATTAGGGGAATATTTACTTATTTGTTTACTTAAAAATTGCATTGTTTATTGTCATCGACTTTTGATTTGGTCAATTTCAATAGATTTATATTTTAACTATTTAAGTATGCAATGTTTGACAGGTTTATGAATGTAAATTTATTTTTATTTTTGCATAAATTCTTATTTTATTTATTTAAATTGAATAGAGATTTTTTAAAAGTACAAATCATACATGTTAGTACAGTAGTGAATATGAATAGGTATATTAATTATTTTCAATGAACATGTTATGTAATAGTTTTCGTTCATCTACTGATCACATGGTAACACAAAAAATATTTAATAAATTTAAGTGTATTAATTATGTCGATGATTAATTGTTTTTTGAATTTAAATGCAATTAAAAGAGATTATTTATACAGTAATCATAAACTTATGTAGCGCATAAACATAATTTTGATAAATGCTTTGCATATCATGCATAATTTATTTATAATTATTTATATAATTTTTAAATACTATACATATGTATACTGTGCATATCCATACAAAAATCATTTGCGTATTATAAGTTTAATTAGTTATCAATACAAAATAATTAGCTAGGTAATGAGTCGAGAATGCCCACCATTAATCTGATAGGCGATTTATTTTCACCGCTTGCTTTGGCCGTTGTTTTGGGCATTTTATTTATGAGTTTGTCGCACATATCGTTATCCTTGCCGTAATCGCCGCACATTAACGCCATTGAGTCCGATAGGTATGTATCAAACATATTGTCCAAGTATTCAATCGACTTTTGTTTACATAGTTTTGGCTGCTTTTCATACGCCTTTGTCAAACACAGACCCATTTGGGATACGTAACTGTATAATATTAGCAATTAATTACATTAGTTTTGGAGTAATTTTTAATTGTTAGTAGGTTGTTTATTTAATTTATATTAGTATAATCGTGCTTAATTTTTTCTCTCTCTCTCTCTCATTTTAAAATCTAAAAAATACTACAAACTGTAATCAAATAATTGACCACAAATTTTAATATTTAAATAATGTAATGTTAATGTTAACTTGTGGATAAAAACTTTTTATGCAATACTTAAATGTATAAAAATATTTATATAAAATAAATGCTTTACATAAATGAATTTTTTAATTTTTAAAATGCTAATAATATTTTAAAAATTAGACTGACCAACATGCCATCGGTATCTTAAGCTTATGATCGCTTATCCGGGTTATGGAGTACGTGGTGTCAATCCAATTGTTCCAACACTTGCGCGCACCTTTACGGGCGGCGTTACCGCACGCGCCCACCCGTTGAAAGTCCTGTGTCCGGCGCCGGGACTTACATGTATTGGCAGTGTTTTTGCTCACAGAATAAGTTAATAAATTTGTAACACTTTTTGTATTACTGTTCAGACATTTCTCGACGTATGTTTTCATTTCTGATTCGCGTCGTTTTGAGTCCCTATGTGTCGGGTAAACATGCGTTAAACTTATCATTAACAAGTAAATTGTTATACATAGAATACAATTAGACTTTCGATATTAATCAATATGGTGAATATTTACTTGCAAAATGCCTTCATTTGAACCTCGTTGGTGGGGAAGTCCTGCTGGTCGGCGGCAAACAAAAACATTTCCTTTATTCTTAGGTCGGCGTTCACCTCTTCCCTATCGCACCGATACTTCTGGGCCATACATAGCCTATCCATTGTGGCCCACAATAGTATTATTATATGAATTAACATGTTTATTATTTATGAGATGATAAATTAATTCGCGTATGATTTTAGCAATAAGTTATTATGAATGATTGTTTTGGTGAATTTATTTAGCAATTTATACTAACATTTGTATAATTATGGTTGGAGTAACTTTTGTTTTATTAAAACTTACTTGTTAGTAATTGATAAGGGGATTCACTTATTGTTTATTCTAATTACTTTTTAATCATTTATGATTTAATTCTACATTAATCATTTATGAGGAAATAAATAGTGATATCATTAATATAATTAATATTTTTATTTTTATATGTTGTTTATTTCTAGATCACAATTTTCAATGTCATTTACCGGTATTGTTTTGCTCAGTATGATTGAGTACTTACAAGTGAATGCCAAGGTTGATTTTGGGGAATTACAAGTTCATTGTGTCATTATTGTAATTTTTATGTAATTATGATGTATAAATTTGTTATTCCAACTTCTTAATGGTAGTATAAAGTAATGGTAAATAATCCATTGTGACCATGCACTTAATTAATAATAGTATTACAATCATTATTAAATAATTTGTAAACATGGTGTTTTATGTTCACATACTAATTGATAAGTACTATATTGCAAAAAAGTAAAAAACTACAAAATGAATGGAAAATTTTATTTTGACATGATAAATTATTAAATTATTTTCTATGTAATCATATTTAATCTACAAAGTGGTCAGGATTATGTAATGTATAAATTAATGATTAATTTTATAGTAAATTTAATAAGTTTATTAAATATTTGTAATTAAATATGGTATAAATAATTACAGATTTGCCTAATGTATTTAAATGTTAATGATACAAGATATAAAAATACAACTGAATTAACAAATAATTTTTATTAAATTTATTATGCATATTATTTACAAGAAATTCAAATATGTTTTAATTTTGCTAGTTAGATAATGAATTTCTACATGTCACCTTGATATTTCTTATGTGGTAGTAAAATATCTCATTATTAGTTTCAGTTTACTTAAGCACTGAATTTATGATAAAGCAGAGATACATTTTATATAAGTGAAATATAAAATTAATACAACATTACTTATAAGATAAAGTTATTAACAAGGTAAACAGGCGTTATATTTAAATTAATGATGTTAGAGTTTTAATTAAACAAATTTAAACTGTTATAGACTTAACATAGAATTAATAAAACAAATTCTCAAATTTAATTTATAAGTTTATATTTATTATATTTATTATAACTATAATTATGTAGGCACCCTGGTCACCCTTCATACCTATGTATTGTATATAAAATATAATTGCGATAATATACGAGATAAAACACTAACTTAAAATATTGTATGTAGTTTTCATTAAAAATAATAAACAATGTCACATTAGTGGATTTAGTTTTATGTTAGAGATATTGTGCCCGTGGGTTGTTTAATACAATTACCAAAACACCTAGATAAAAATGGAAACCAGCTCAATTGTGCCCGATGTTATCGACACAATGCCTTCCAACATAATGAAAGTAAGCAGCCATTTTTTAATTGAGCAATGTCAGATTAACCTTATTTGAAATGTAATTGGAAAAATTAAATATAAAATTACTAAAGTTTACTTTAATTTATTTGAAGTTACTAAACTACAGTTTTTGAATTTCATTATGCCATTCTTAAAATGTCATTCTTTATAATATTTTACAATACATTTAATATGCGCATAATTAATTTTGTTTAAAAGTATTATAGTTTTATTATAAAATCATATCAAGAAGTTATCATGTTTTGTTAAATAATGTGCTGTTAAGTACAGCTAACTTATAATCCAGTGTTAAATATTATGGATATTAATAAATCTACCTTATAAATTGGAATTAATAATGATCAATTATTATAATGATTATTTAACTAAATAAATAATTATTATATGTGATCACCAACATTGTACATTACAAGACCCATTCGTACTCAACATTAAGTACACTGTACTTACAGTAGTTGGGTTCTCATCGCATAGGTGGTATATTGCAATCTTATTAATGATAAGCTATCATGTATAAATTCTTTGAGTAATATTCAGGACTTTAAATAACAGTTTGATATTGTGTTTTATACAGTTCACTTTATATAATATAAAACAATTACCTAGATACTATTTATCTGCAATGAGTAATTTATATTAATTTATTGTTTGTTATTTTTAAAAGTACAGAGAATGTTGCTTTATAAAAATTATTTATTACCATAATAAATATATTAAATCAATTATGTTTATTACAATCTTATCTAGGTCATATACACAAGTGGTTGTAAGGCCGACCTGGGCAACGAGCTAACACCGACCCAGGTGAAATCACCGCCCAACGTAGACTGGCCAACAGAGTCGGACCAACTCTACACCTTAATTATGTTGGACGCCGACAGTCACGATGTGAACAATGATAAACTAGATCGACCAGATTACCCGGATCACAGTGGCCATCAAACACTGCACTGGCTGGTGGTGAACTCTAGCCGTACTGACCCTGGTCAAACTGTTACCGGCTATATGGGTTCGGTGCCCACCCAGGGTACAGGCTATCATCGGTACGTATTTTTAGTGTACAAACACAGGCATAGGATTGTAGTGCCGGTCACTGATGGCGGTATAAAGTGTCGCAAAGGTTTTAACCTGAGAGAGTTTGTCCAGTTTTATGCCCTTGGTGATCCTGTGGCCGCCAATTTTTATCGCGCTAAGTTTGATGATTACGTTCCGGTGCTAAAGAACAGGATGTTGAATAAAACGCGCCAGGTTGTCCGTAACCCGACGCAGCACTCTCAGGCATTTTATTGGATCTGGGAGGGTTACGGATAAAAATATTATACTCGATCATTTTGAATTAACATGTTGCTGTATTATTTAATTTTTTGTAAATTATATAAAGTGTATATTAAAATTGCAATTTTATATGTTTTAGTATTGTTATTACATGTTCACATTATTACAGAGTTTATTTTCAGTTCAAAACACGTTTTGCAAGTAATTTAAAAACTCGTTATAAAGTAGAATATTCTGCTATTTTTTAACCTAGTTTTTAGTTGTTTAGTCCTTTTATATATGAATATAACAAATACTGTTGTATTGAATGTGTATTTATATAAATAGTACTAATATTTTCTATTCAGCAAAAAACATACAAATATTTGTGAATAGATGTCAGACTTTTTGCATTAAATATTACTTTAAATGCGTTTCCATTGAATGTTAATATTATGACTAAAGCTGATCAGAATATGTTTTTAAATGTTTTTAACGGTTAGCTATATATGTTTGGGACTTTGGGGGCAAACCAATTACATAATAAGAGTCATTTTAACAAAGTTTTATTTTACATATAAATACATATTTGACTTTTAAATAAATATAAATAAATATTTAGTCATAAACCATTAAAATCATTAATTTACTTGAAATTCATGACTTAAAATGTCTAAATACGTATTAAATGATAAAACAGTTTCTAAAAGTTTGTTAAAAATGAATCAAAACAATAATAAATACTTGTAGGAAAATATGTTATACACAATGATGGGTTACTATATCATTAGTTTGACTTGGAAACAATTGATATTATTTAAATTTATATTATAACTTTAATTAACACTATTTAAATAGGATTTAAAAGGTTACAGATCATTTCTAGCAAAATGTTTCGTTATTGTCTCCATAGAATACATTAATTAGAATTTATATAGAGTATTGAGATTTATAAATAAATATTTAAGTAAATATTTGACCTTTTTTTAGTAAATATATAAGTAAATATTTGGCCATTTTTAATAAATATTATATAACATATTTGACCGTTAATAAATACATATTCTGATCAGCTTTAATTATGACATTTTGGGCACAAAAATAATATTCATTCAGACAATCACTTCATTTGATCCCAAGATATGGCACAACACATGAAACACAAGAAAATATTAACGATAACTATAGATGACAGCGAAGATGAGGGCGAAGACAATGTCAGGCAACAGGTATTTGACAAACAATTTACTGATTATTGAATTTTCATTGTTTTTGACTCACATTTTAGGTACAGATCTATGCGAAGGACTCAATGGACAGATTCGGTGATGATTTGTGTGCACTTCTCTTGTTTCAACTCTCACTCGAAGACCGATTCCGTTGCGAATGTGTGTCCAAACAGTTCCAGAGGACAGCCTTCGGGAGTGTTGTGGACATCACTCTTAACGACAATCTTATAAGTAAAACACAGGGTATTCCAGAAACAGAAACATATTACAACATCACCACGTCCAATGTTTGTAATATTAAAAAATTAAATCATATTGTCTTGAAAGCAATTGCCATAAAGTGTGCAAACATTCAGACCATTGACTGTCGAGAAATGACATTACCTAATAATCTCATTCCCGAAGTGTTGGCCATATTTCGAGACAATTGCCGACATTTACGGGAAATTTACTGCAATTTATGGCGAAATCGTAAGCAAACAATGGGTTCTTTGGGACCATTGATCACACGAATCGGTTGTCTTAATCATATCGACTGTCAATCGCTCACTCAGTGCAACCGTTTGTCTGAATTAAGCGCAAACACCTTTGGCGATGTCTTTGACAATTCATCTAACACTTTGTTTGCGAAAAATTTAGATAAATTTAAGTTAAGATACATTTTATTTAATTCAGATAAACACAAATTGTCGGCATTTGTGGCACAGAATCAGTCCATAAAATACGTTAGTTTTAGGACCGGAGAAATGTTGATCGAACTCTCCGTACAATTGTCACGATTAACACAATTACGGGAATTGAGACTCGGGTTAGGGTTAAGGAAAGGCCAGAACTTATTGTCTGAGTCTTTGCGTACAATTGGCTTAAACTGCAAACAATTGAAACGATTGTCACTTATATTGTCATCTTATAACACACTACTCAATGGCAATTCATTGGATTCATTGAGTTGTTATCACAGATTAAAACGATTAGATTTAACACTAAATGTTGTCATCGATGTGGAAGCGTTGGAACCGTTGAAACTCTGCCACCGATTAACACATTTAACACTTTCTTTATTTGAATTAAGTGACAAATTTTTAGCCAATTGTGAGAAACATTGGCCACGACTTCAATACCTATGTCTCAAATGCGAACACCGAGTGTTAGCTCAGACTTACAGTCGGTGTTTGTCTCACATCTCAAGACTACCGGCGCTGAAAACATTGAACATAAGTTCCAACTGTAAAATTGATATTAAAGACAATGAATTGTATGATCTTTTGTCCAGAAGTCCTAAATTACTGAATATTACAATCCATTGGAGAAATTTTGTCAACTTTTATTGCCGTAAAAGTGCATTAAATATTAAATGAGCTAAGCTTATGTATTAATATAATTTTTACAAATTAGATTCTATTATAATGCACCTAGTACATTCATTTCATGCATTAATTATTACAATATTACTGTTGACATTTATTATAAATAATTATGATTAAAATTAAATGTGAATTGAATTGAATGAATACTGTTGATAACTTAAATGTATGAATTGTTGTTGGTGCATTTTAATTGTTATGTTAAATGTAATTCTTTCTGATAATGATTTGAATGCTGTGTTGTCTTCGAGTCCTAAATTCAAAATACTTGAAATCCGTGTAAACAATGAGAAGAAGTTTTATTCAAAATAAAAAGCATTAAATGTTTAGTAATTTATAAATACAATGTTATTAATATTTAAAATGTTGCTTGATTTATAAATTAAATGCACTAACGAGTAACTTGTAAGTGAGTTTATTTATTTTGGCTATATTTTTATTGTTGCAAGTTTATTAAAATATTATTTTGTTCAAGTTAAGTAAATTTAAATGTTATAATTTTATACAAATATTTAAAACAAAACTTTTAATTAATCTCAAATTAATATCTTATGTAAGACTCTTACAGTAAGAGCATTCTATTGTCTTGGCCAGTTACAAATATTATAAATTAAAATTTAGTTTATAAATATAAAACATAATATGTTATGGTCTAATTCTTAATTTAGTTTATATAATAAAATGAGAGAGAG